AAAAAACCTTTTTTGTTCCCGTAAACATTTTTTCCCCAAAAAAAACCTTTTTTGTTCCCGTAAACATTTTTTTCCCAAAAAAAACCTTTTTTGTTCCCGTAAACATTTTTTTCCCAAAAAAAACCTTTTTTTGTTCCCGTAAACATTTTTTTCCCAAAAAAAAACCTTTTTTGTTCCCGTAAACATTTTTTTCCCAAAAAAAACCTTTTTTTGTTCCCGTAAACATTTTTTTCCAAAAAAAGCCTTTTTTTTGTTCCCGTAAACATTTTTTTCCAAAAAAACCTTTTTGTTCCCAAAAACATTTTTTTTTATATATAATTTAAACTTAACATTTTTTTTATAATTTAAACTTAAATTTTTTTTAACTAAGTAATTCCATTTTAAAATTAAAACCTTTTTATATATATAATTAAAATATTAAAAAAAATTAAAACATTTTTTTACATAATTAAAATATTAAAAAATTAAAACATTTTCGTAAGGAACTCCTTATGTTTGCCGTGTCATTTTGTGTACCTTTTATTTTCTTTATTCCTGCATTTCATTTGCATGCTTGAGGTTGAGATGTGCTTGTGGTGGCCACAGCCCCACACTATTTTCCTCCCTCACTTCATTCTAAGTGTCATTACATATTTTCATATTCTTCATGTTTTCAGAAATGTTTCTTTGTTTCTTTATACCCTCTGCCTTTATTACTTTTCTTATTTTTGTACCTTAATTATTCCTCCATATAATGATTTGTCATATTTTCACATTTTTTTTACAGTTTTATCCTTCCGAAGGATTAGGTCCAGCCTTTTGGCCGCCGAGTCAATAGCCTTACCCCTTTAATGGATCAAACCCTGTTTAGCCTAGGTGTCCCGCCGTGGGCAAAATTGCTTTTATCCTAGTGTTATGCCAAAAGGGTCGCCGCACTCATTTTAGGGTTTCCCGCCGCGGAATCCCTAACCTAACCCTAATTCACTTAACAATTTACAACATAGATATTGGAGTTTCTACACTCCGCGTAAGCGTGTCCCTAAGATACGTTTATTCCCCATTGAGACCTTGACCACAGTCAAGAAGTTTCTAACCTCCCTATTGAGGGGAACTACGATTACTCTGATTCCACTCCCGTAAGGATACGTAGGCACAAGATGCGATGTCTTGCCGAGTAAACTTAGAATTAACCCCTTAGGTCTCTTTTCTCACTTGTAATCCTTATGTACATATACCTTAAGCAAATAAATAAAGCAAATAGTAAACATCTGAACAAAAGGTTCCTGTAGAGTACTACAGAAGTTTAGGGTGCTAATACCTTCCCTAAATTTAACCAACCCCCGAACCCTAAATCTTTCCCCGCATTGTGTTTACAATGCAAAATAGGTTTTCCCTCTTTTGACCTTTTCCTTCGGATAAATCAAAGAGCGGTTGTGAATTGAATTGCGATTCAAACTCATTAATAGTTTGTGATCCTATTTCCACCGCAATAGGAGGGCATCAAAACCGCTTCAGCTAATCCATTTAGACATATGTGGTCCTATCAAGCCAACTTCTAGCAGCAACAAGAGGTACATTTTAAGTTTTATCGATGACTTTACTCGTAAAACTTGGGTTTATTTATTGCATGAAAAATTCGAAGCTTTTGTCACATTCAAAAACTTTAAGGCTTGTGTTGAAAATGAGACATGGGCATATATAACATGTTTAAGGATAAACAGGGGTGGTGAGTTTAACTCAAATGAGTTCGGGGAATTTTGTCGATCACAAGGCATTAGTAGGCAATTGACAGCAGTCTATACCCCCCAGCAGAATGGTGTTGCCGAGAGGAAGAACAGGACAATTATGAATGTCTTCCGATCCATGCTGAGTGAGAAACAAGTTCCCAAAACTTTCTGGCCGGGTGCTGTGCGATGGTGTGTGCACATTCAAAATTGATCTCCAACGGCAGCAGTTCAAAATACAACACCGGAAGAGGCATGGAGTGGCAAGAAACCAACGATGGAGTATTTTCTAATCTTCGGTTGTGTAGCACATGTCCATGTGCCAAATCAAAAAAGTAGCAAGTTGGATGATAAAAGCAAAAAATGTATTTTTTTAGGAGTCAGTGAAGAATCAAAAGCTTGGAGATTATGCGATCCGGTTTCGAAGAAAATTATCATCAGTAGAGATGTAGTTTTTGAATAAGAAGAAAGTTGGGATTGGGGCAGAACAAACAAGGAGATCAAGGGAGATATATTAGAATGTGGTGATGGTATCATTGAAGATGAAAGTGATGATCAGATTGAAGAAGAATGTGGTGAAACAAGAAATTCAAGCAGTAGTCCTACGGAGACACCCTCAAATGAGGAAAATCCAAGTACACTTGAAGTGCTTGACGCAACTGGAGAATTAGTTGAAGGGAGGGTAGCACGAGAAAGAAGAGCACCAAGTTGGATGACAACTTATGAAATAGGGGAAGGGCTTTCAGAGGAAGAGAATCTCAATGTAATGTTGGCAGTCACTGATCCTGTTACATTTGTAGAAGCAAATAAAAGCAAGAAATGGAGGGAAGCAATGTCAGCAGAAATTGAGGCCATAGAAAAAAATCACACCTGGGAGCTTACACTATTTCTTAAAGGAGTAAAGCATATCAGAGTTAAGTGGGTGTTCAACACTAAGCGTAATGAAGTTGGAGAAATAGAGAAATTCAAAGCAAGATTGGTTGCAAAAGGGTATGTGCAGCGTCATGGAATATATTACATTGAAGTATTTTCTCCGGTGGCGAGGCTTGACAACATTCGTGTGATACTTTCAATGGTTGCTCAGTTCAGTTGGGAGGTCTTTCAACTCGATGTAAAGAGTGCCTTTCTTCATGGTGAACTCAAGGAGGAAGTGTTTGTGCAGCAACCAGAGGGATTCATTAAAAAGGGAGAAGAAGAGAAAGTCTATAAGTTGAGGAGAGCACTTTACGGACTAAAACAGGCACCGCGAGCGTGGTAATGTAGAATTGAAGTATACTTTGTGCATGAAGGGTTTGAAAGATGTCCAAATGAGCACACATTGTTCACCAAGACAAAAGGAGATAAAATTTTGATAGTTAGCCTATATGTTGATGATTTGATTTTTACCGAAAATGATATAAGCATGTGTGACGAGTTTAAAGCTTCAATGATGTCAGAATTTGAAATGTCTTATTTTGGAAAAATGAAATTTTTTTGGGGATAGAAGTCAAACAGTGTTCAAATGGAATATTCATATGCCAGAGAAGGTATGCATGGGAAGTATTAGCAAGGTTTGGCATGGAAAACAACAATGTAGTTAAGAACCCAATAGTGCCAGGTACAAAGCTTTACAAAGATGAGATTAGAGTTAGAGTTGATGCAACTTTATACAAGCAATTAGTTGGAAGTCTCATGTATTTGACTGCGACTAGGCCTGACTTAATGTATGGTGTTAGCTTAATAAGCAGGTTTATGACAAGTCCTACTATGTCATATTGGCTTGCAACAAAGAGAATTCTGAGGTATTTAAAAGGTACAGCCGATCATGGAATTTTCTATACAAAGGGAGATGGCAGCTTGAAACTTTTGGCATTTACGAATAGTGATTATGCCGGTGATTTGGATGATCGAAGAAGTACATCTGGGTTCGTATTTATGTTGGGAGCTGGAGCTGTTTCATGGTCATCAAAGAAACAACTGATGGTTGCTCTGTCTACTACGAAGGCAGAATATATAGTTGCGACAATGTGCGGTTGTCAATGTGTTTGGCTAAGGAGGATATTGGAGAAACTTGGAATTGAAGAGAAGACTAGTACGGTGATCATGTGTGATAACAACTATACCATACAGTTATCGAAGAATCCGGTGTTTCATGGCAATAGTAAGCATATTGATGTAAGGTTTCACTTCCTTAGAGACTTGGTGAAGGATGGAGTCATTAAACTGAGCTACTGCAACACTCAAGAACAAATTGCCGACATTATGACAAAGCCACTGAAACTAGAGCAGTTTGAGAAGCTTCGCGGCCAGGGACGGATCTAGAAATATTAATTAGTGGGGGCATGATATTCATTTATCTCATAAAAATTAGAAAACTAATTATATATATTAACTTTAATAAAAAAAACCAATGTTATTTTCTAGAATACGTTTATTCATTGTAGTAAATAACATAAGTTGAATTAAATTAAAGTTAATAAATAATAGAAATAGTAATACAAAAAAAATAATAAATGTTGTATCGTATTTTTAAGAAATAATTATTTTAAAATATAAAAAATATAAAAGTGAGATACTTTTTATGTGAAGAAGGAAGTACACATATTTTAAATATTACATACCACATATTAGAAATTTTTGCATAAAAATTTATCAAAATAAATATATATTTGTCTTGTGAATTTAATTATTGTTACCATTAGAGTACTACATCAAAAAAATTGAATAAAATAAAATAAATATATAATAATTATTCAAACAACAAATTAATCTTTAAGTTAGATATTTAGAATAATTATTTTTTTTTCAATATTATTACATATAAATTTTTGTGTATGTGATCAAATAATATTTAACAACTTATCTTTTAAATTATTTTTTATTTAATTATTTATAATTATAATTAATTTATTTATTTTATGGGGCAATATTTAATTTAAAAAAAATAAAACCAAAATAATTAATTATTTAATACAAAATAAATAAACTACATTATAGGATATAATTGTTAGATGTAACTGCTATTTATTCTCTATTTAGGAGGATCTATTCTTTAGGAGTTTAGCTAGTGTTTTGATTCTTACCACTATATTATAGGGCTGTTAGATGCAGCTGCTATTTACTCTTTCAGACACTTTGTATTGGAAATATATATAGCCTCAATTTGCTATCATTTAATAAATTATCCTTTCGCGTTGTTATATTTGTCTCTGAATTTTAACACTTGCAAGCTTCTGATAAACCCCTACACCGTAGCAAAAGATCTTGCTACGAATATTGTTTGCTTTAAAAGAAAAACATCTTCCACTCTAGTGAAATATGAAAGCTCTAATCTTTTGTATTTTGATTCTTGGTTTTGTTTCATCTTGTTTATGTGAAAGGTGGAATATTAATGCAGCTCCAACAAAAAATAATATATACAATGTGGTTGATTATGGTGCTCGTGGTGATGGAGTAATAGATGATACACAAGTATGAATATGTATTTTTTTACTATTGTTTCTTAAATTTTAATATCTAAACATCATTTGAAACTTTAATTTTCTATATTTTGAATGGATTAATGTAGGCATTTTTAAAAGCATGGAGTGATACATGTGGAGCAGAAGGTGCATCAACTTTGCTCATACCACCAAACAAAATATACTTGGTGAACAACATCGAATTTAGTGGTGATTGCAAGGCCAAAAGTATTCTCATTCAGGTATATTCTCTCACACACACATATTTCTAGTAGGACTTTTAAAAAATATTTCGAATTGAATCGTAGCAAAAATCGAATCAATCTGAAACGAATTGAATTGATGTAGTTTGGTTCAGTAGTTTGGTTCATTACGAGAATTACAATAGTTTGGTTCAGTTCGAATTACCTTTTACTATAATTAAATTCATTTTAGTTTGATTTTTTTTACTGAATGTATCACGAATAACCAAAATCACTGGCATATAATATGATATGATCCTTTTATAGTCACTTTTTTTTAGAAAGTTTGGTTTTATTTTTTTATTTTTTATATCCAACACTTTCGATCATGCCATGTTCATCTAATTATTTTGCCCTGTCTCATACACATTGCAGCTTAAAGGAAAAATAACTGCACCTCCCCAAAAAGCATTTAAGGATAAGTCATATTGGATTAAGATCCAATACATAAACAGTCTCACAATTGATGGCAGTGACATAGGAGAAATCACAGGCCAAGGTTCTACCTGGTGGCCATGCAGAACTTGCCCTAGGCCTAGAGTATGATTAATTACGATAATATAAATTTTATGTTTTTTAATTTATATTTATACTTTCAGCCTATAACAAAATTAACTTACAACAATTTAATCACAAAATTTAGATTTTAATTTCATGTTAATGGTGCAGAGCTTGTTTTTTCATTCCTGCAATGATCTTACTGTTAGTAATGTGAGGATTACTAATAGTCCAGGAAGTCATATATCTATAAATGGTTGCAACAATGTGAAATTCTCTCACATGAATGTTCAATCTCCGGGTGATAGTCCTAACACCGATGGGTTTGATATCTCGTTATCTAAAAATATATTGATAGAAGATTCCGCCATACAAGTAGGTAATCAAAATTTATATTTGTCATCTCTCTCGCTCTCGCTCTATCTATCTGATGTACTTTTGTATTTTGATCGATTATTTTTTTTTGATGTATATAATCGTTTAAAACATATGTACAATTTTAAAGTGGGTTGAGATTCTTATATACAGGTGATGATTGTATTGCCATCAACGGCGGCTCCTCATACATCACTGCGTCTCGTCTTGCTTGTGGTCCAGGTCATGGAATAAGGTAACTTTCTATAATTTATAAAACTCAATTTTTAGGTGATATTTGATTATTTTGATACTTGAGAATTCTCATTAAAATGTGTGAATTGATCAGCATTGGAAGTCTTGGTAAAGATAATTCTCATGAGATAGTTGAAGAAGTACATGTACAAAATTGCAGCTTCACTAATACTACAAATGGAGCTAGAATCAAAACATTTCCTGTAAGTAATTAACATTAACGTCATGCTCTAGATGTATGAAAAAATATTTTTCTAAAATAATCTCGATTTTTTATTTATAGGGTGGATCAGGTTATGCAAGGAAGATTAGTTTCGAACAAATCCAACTTACAGATGTTAAGAATGCAATAATTATAGACCAACATTACGGCGTTAAAGTTGCGGCGGAGGTATGCATTTGATTCTACATTCATATTTTTATCTTGTCATTTCAACAATAGGTGTTATTCTTAAAATTTGATATGATCATATAACATTGATAGTTATGGTTTGAATTTTGTGGAAATTATTAGGAATCAGCTGTGCAAGTGAGTGATGTTAGATTTTATGGGATTAATGGAACTTCTGCTAGTGACTTGGCTATTAACTTGAAGTGTGAGAGTTGCTTCGACATTGTATTGGATCAAATTAATATTGTTTCTTCTCAACCTAAAAAGGAGGCTCAGTCTTATTGCAAAAATCTCTATGGAAAAATAGGCTCTACTGTTCCAAAAGTCAATTGCAATTGAAAATGTTGTTTCTATTGTTAGTTGTTTTATGTGAAAGTTATGTCATAGTTTTATTATCTGTCATGTTTCGATAAGAGATGAACAAAAAACTAGGAAGTTAATGCAAAAAAGTAGAGATAAATGAAGAATGAAACAAAGTATAAGTAAGAAGTATGAACTTATATTAATTTTTATTGACTGCTACAATGTGGCTAAAAACAAAGTTCAACAAGTTTTTGAATTACATTGTAACATATAACACATTATGATGATAGACAAGGGACATTTGGAACAGTATCTGCAGCTTTTCCATGTGCATTTTTACAAATAACAGAATCATAATTCTTTTCTTTCTCAGCAGGTACAATGTTGTTTTGATCCAAAACAATGTCATAACAACCGGATGAACAACAATCTAAGTTAATAGCTACTTTATCAACATAAGTCCCCTTAAATCCTCGAAATGTCACAGAACTCACCAACACAGATGATGTTTCCTAATAATTACAATGAAATGAAATTAACAACATAGATAACTTTGATATTGATTAGTATATTATGTATATAAATTAATGAGTAATAAAACATATATAGTTGAAATTACAAGATAAAATACTATGCGTGAAATATGTACCTCCAGATAATTATTATATTCCTGATTTATGATTATTGGGTTCCTAACATTTTCAAGGATGATTTGTTCATATGTAATATTTTTTGCATGACCTGATCCACCCTGTAAAAAAAATATAATGAAGGTGTTAAATATATATTAAATTTTATTTTTCTTTTAATATAGTCTCTAAAAAAAAGTTATTAATTTATAGCTTCTATACTTTTTAAAACAAAAGACGCAAACTGAATCAAATTTTTTTACTATAAAATAAAATAAAATTTTAATATGGACAAAATTTCTTAAAGTTATATTTTTATATCAACTTTATAAATACATTTAACTTTAAATATTATACTCACCGAAACTGTCTTGATTCTTGCTCCATTGGTAGTTTCTCTAAAAGTGCAATTTTGTACATAAACATTAGAAACTTCATCCTTAGCTCCATGTCTACCTAGGCTACCAACGCTGATGAATTCACAAAATACAAATAAATCATATTAACAATTAACATTTTGTTTATTAAAATAGAATATTAACATTAAAAATAAAATCATTTAAAATTATTTGTTGTCCAATATACATATATCAAATTGAACTTTAGAAAAATAATTTTTATAAACCTTATTCCATGACCAGGTCCACAAATAAGCCTCTGAGCATTGACGAAAGAGGAACCACCATTGATAGCGATACAATCATCACCTGTTTAAATGAAGCAAAATTTATAAAAAAAAAAAAGTTACATATATATCAAGAACACAAAAATTCTGATAATTTTAACAATAATTACCAGATTCTATGTTGGAATCTTGTATCAAAACATTAGTGGAATCAGAAATATCAAATCCATCAGTGTTAGGACTTGAAGCAGGTGCAGTAATGGATACATGAGAGAATGTTGCGCCATTGCACTCATTAATAGATACATGAGATCGTGGACTATTACTGATTCTCAGATTACTAACAGTAAGATTATTGCAGTTATGAAATTGGAACACCTGAAACATTCAAAATATTAATTTATAGCTCAATTACTAAGATAAAAATTTACAGAAAAAGTTGATAAAAATAATTAATATATACCCCTGGTCGATCACAATCTGAACAACCCCACCAAGTAGAACCACTTCCATCGATTTCTCCTTGACTATTGCCATCAACTATGAGTCCATTTATATTTTCAACATGAATCAAATATGGTCGAGTTTCCCACTCTTTTTTAGAAGGTGCAACTATTTTTCCTTCAAACTGCAATTTAGTATATAAAAAATAAATATGATTTATTTTATTATTTTACACAAATACTTAATATTTTCATTATATATGTATATTTTTTTAAGATTTATACTATAGTATAATTAATATTATATACCTGAATGCGGATTTCAGATTTGCAGGGACCGCTAAAATCTATTTTCTTCACCAAGAATGATTTTTCAGAAGGTATAACTAATGTTGATATTCCTTCTGCTTTACATGCACTACTCCATGCACTTGAAAAAGCCTAGAATTAAATATATAAATATAATAAATGATAAATATTGCTAAGGTCATTCAATTCTTATAAAATGATATGAAATAAATATAAATTAAAATTATGTAGATAAAACATGAAAACATATACTTTTGTATCATCAGATTTTCCATCACCAGTTGCACCATATTGCATCACATTATAAGTAGTACCATATGTGGTTCCAACATGGAACCTTATACACAGACAAGGTGAAATAAAAGGGAGAATTAAAACATAAACAATGAGTCCTTGCATGTTAAGTAGAGTGAAATGAAACAATTGATAATAATAATTAAGTTTTATTGTGATGATTTGTGATGGGAGTATAGTTCTGGCCAGTTTCGAGGTTAAATAGAAAATTACAGGCATGCAACTTTTTTATTTAAATATATAAATAGTAATTTAAATATTAAAAAATGGAAACAGGTCTTTTTAAAATTAAAATAAAATAAAATGGAAAAAGTTTTTTTTTAATAAATGGAATCATATTTGCTTTTTTATAAATAATATTTTTTTACTTCTATTACTATGTATTGTAGCCTTTACCATATTCATAGATATGCTTTTTAAAATTTTTAATATAATTTCTTAGATTATAAAGGAAAATAATGTTTTTAAGTTAGGTTGATTTGTGTTATGAAGAAAAATAAATCTCTAGATCACTCTTTTTAAAATTTTAGAATTCAATTCAGTTAATCTTTTGTTTATTTACTTTTTTTATTTTATTTTAATTTTACGTTCCTTTAGTTTTAGTCTACAAATTTTAAATTTACAAGGAATTGTCAAAGATGGTAGTCAGGTTAAATATTATGGTCATTGTAATACCCCAAATTTTACCTTTAGATTAGTCGTTTCATTCGCATTCCATCTCATTTTGCATTGCATTGTAACTAATCGCTAACCAGTTTGCTCAATCCATTGGTTTTGCAAGAAAAATTACGTTGTGCACAGTTTAATTGGTGAAGGGCAAAATGGTCATTAATTTGCAGTATGCTGACGATTGAAGAAGCAGAGTGTCATCAGGAATCCCTCGAACGATTAGGGTTCCCATATCCGATCACGTGGCTTAGTTGAGGATGAGCTGAATTTTGTGACGGTTTTGACGTCAGATTTCTTGTGACACAGTACATCTTATTCCAGAGCAGAGATTTAGTCGTCAGACGGGTTTCGGAAGTGCCTGTGGATTCATAAACTATATGGGGCTGAGGGCATTGCAATATAAATGGATTCAGGCTAAATCGGTGCGAAGATTTGCTTTGAAGAATTTATTGTGACAGATGTGTGTTTTCCTACTTTTTGCTAGTCAACAGTCGATTTTAAGAGAACAGTGGAGTTTCGGTGCGCGTTGAATTGGTAATGAGTGTCTGTTGGTTTGATAAGGATTATTAGTCAAGCTGATTCAGGTTACCGGGTTAAAATAGTCGAGATGTGATTTGAATTTTCATTACGGAAGACAGTTCGTTTTATCGTTTAACTGAATTTCTCTGCTTATCCGTTCAAGGCCATATTCACCGTTAGTATCAAATGTGAATTGATTTGCAAGAGGTTTTTGAGCTCGGCAGTTATGTCAGGTTTAAATCGTACAAGATGGTTTAATGGTCAAATTCGGAGTTGGAACGTCACAGTTTAATCGGACAATTTTCATTGGATAGATTTAATTAATTGAATTTATTTGATAAATTCAAGCAGATGACTTTTAATCGAATTAATTTTTAATCCGATGAACTTGGTCAGGTGGATTTGGTTGGAAAATTGAAGCAGATGAATTAATTAAGTGATTTTAATCAGATGAATTATTTGGTGAATTTAATCTAAAGTTGAATAAATTTAACTAAGTGGATTTGTTCGTTTGAGTTAATCGGGAGAATTATTTGGATGGATTGTCGCGAGAAATTCAAGTTAATAGAAAAGATAGAATTTTATTTATTCTATTATTTTTTATTAAAAAATTACAAAAGAATTATAAATTACAAAATAAAGGATTAATTCATAAAAGGTTCCTTTTTTTTTTAAAATGGTCTTCTTGGCCGATTCTTCGATTTTTTGTCTGAACCTGCAAAACATATCAACAACAAGAGAAAATAGTGTTAAGGTTAGAAACGGTAAAAATTGGTTTTGGACGGTTCCGACATCCTCAGCAATAAAATCATCATCGGTGTGTCAGGAGGGCAACGACAAAGTCGTCGCCAACTCCCGACTTATTATTTCCCGATCTCGGCACAAGACACGACAGCCTCTGTTCAAATAATCCAAGAGAGAGTAAAAGTGATTTTTCAAGAAAAGTGATTTTGGAAAAAAAAGCGCTTTTGGAAAAAACACTTTTTCGTGAAAAATATTTTTTTCAAACACAGTCCTAACAAGATTTCCCAGGAATTTCTGAAGCCAACGGATCAAACAATAAGCCAACAAAATTCCTGAAAAAACTGCATGCCAAAACACAACAAGCTAGCCAACAGGACCAAATCACCGCCAAAAGTGCAAACAATCAAGGCATAAAGGTCACAACTTACGGCAACCTACAATTCTTGAAAAACAACCAAATGAGCAACAAATTCGTAACAAAGTGACACCTAGGACCAGAAAGAAGAACACTATAAAGGCCATCAGTAAATCATCAAAGAGAACCCCAGCAAGTGCATGCGAACGAGTTCAAGAAGAAGGAAAAATGAGACGTGTTCGTCATCATCAAGGAGCAAGTTCAGAGAACCCGTAGCTTCATCATCAAAGAGACCCAGAAACATCAAAGAAATCACGACGGCAAAATGAGCGACGGCAAAACCGTCACCACCGTGAACTCAGAGCAGCATCATTGTTCATCAACACCAAGCTACCGTCATCCGTAATTAGATCCAAGCCGCTTCAAACCCCAGAGAGAAAGGGTGAGCA